TTTCGAGCTTCACGCGCGCCTACGAAGTGGGCGCCCAAGTTGGCATATGGGTTCTGAAGCGATTTGTAACGCGCGCGCCTTTCGCGCCCTCGAGCTCCCCGCATTGTTGTAGTCGAGGTGGATTCAGCGCTGTGTTAGGCAGCGAGAAGAGAGTCCTCCTGTACCTAGGTCTTGATTGTTTTTACACACGAGGCCTGATATGAGGCCGCCTTCCGCCCAGCATGAGGGCGCTGGTTTCTGGGCATTATTGAGCCAGCAGGGGCAGGCTTCATCGGCGTCGCCCTGGAGCACGCGGGCCCACTTCCACTCGCGACCCCAATTGGGGGTGGGTGGGCGGGTGGGTGGGTGGGTGGGTGGGTGGGGGGGGGGGCGCGCTTCGCCCAGACTGGCGGGTTGGGGGTCCACGGAACGTGCGTGCCTAGCAGCGAAATCAGCCAATTCACTCAGGGTTTGTCTCGGATTGCTACTACGCGCGAGATCCTGCGCGGCCTGAGGGCGGATGGAAATATCCCCAGCGGACGGTGGTTCTCGCGAGAGGGCCATCTTAGCCAGGGCCCGCCAATCCTTGGAGAGCGCGCGCTGCGCATCATGAATCCGATTCAACGTGCGCTAGCAAAGAGCGGGGCGACGAGGGAAGATTGAACGGTGCCTAGAGAATCGCTGCAAACTCAGAGTCGGCACTGGCATGGGCGCGGTTCGGCGCAGATCTGCGGTCGTCGAATGCGCGCCCGGCAAATCGTCCGCCGCAGGCGAACATTTCCGCGTCTATTAGTGCAGCGATGAATGCCCGCGCAGCTGCGTCGTCTTCGCCACGTTTTAAAGACCCGTCTGAAACGCATGTGAGTGGGGCTCCAGTGGTCTTCGCGCTGTGGACAGAGTTCAAGGGGCATTTCGTGGCCGAGGGTGATGTCGGTATTCAGAGAAGGGAGTTGGAACCCAGATAGCAATAGAGGCCGCCGATGGGGCCGAGGGCATGACTAAACCAAAAGAAGGAGTCGAAGTCGATGGCGCGTGACCTGAATGATCCAGGGCCTGAGCGGCAAGCGCCGTGGGGGGAGCAACGAAAAACTGCGACCCCCCCGCGGTGGAGGGCCCGCTAAGAACCAACGACAGGTCGGCACATCAGACATTGCGGCCGGAGAACTAGGATTACCCCTCGCCGGATGCAGCGTTAAAAAACGAGAGCTGGCTGCCAAGAGGCAAGCATAACATCCTCGCGCGCGGTCGTTCCTATCACATGGCAACAAAACAACGCTGCATGGAGTGCAGCGGCAGGCGGCCTTGCAGCTCGTCAGAAGACTGTGTGCAATCTATTCCTTTTGTATCGATGTGGAAATTGCTAGCGACGCATCAGCGCCTATGCGATCTGCAACACAAGGCTGTAGGCACCGAGCAATTGGAGACTTCGAGTGCTGCTCGTGGTTGCCCGACGTGCGCGTGTCGTTGGCCTCTCTTAGTTCGGTGACAACTGTCTGAGTGCAAATGTGTGTCCCATATCCACCTATCCCTTCTCCTGCTCCACTTCCAGCCCGTGCGTGAGCGCGGCTGGGTGTAGGACGAAACCGTGATCTTCTCGCTGGCTGTGGCGGTGCCGTGGGCTGTAAACGGCTGGAAATGTGAACAATATCTCAGCCCCTAAGGGACCTTGGAGGAACGCCAGAGCTGTGGCTGGGCGAGGCTGGTAGCGGAGCCATGGAGTCACGCTGGCCGTCGGTTGCGCGCTTCCCCAAGTAATCTATATTCCCATCGTTGAAAGGGGCTCCTGTACTCCAGGACGCTGCCGTGTGTGACCGAGGCTTCTAGCTAAGGGTGCTGGGTGATCATCGACTTGCATGCTATTGCGCTGTGGCTGGAGCGACAGACCGAGCGACGCTGAGTTCCCTTTGTCCCAGGAGGTAGGTAGATCGCACTTGCTGGAGCTGTTCACCGAGAAATAGTATTCGCACGCTGGCATGTAAGAGAAGGCCTCTAGACCCATCGGGGCGCGACCTAAATGAGCATCTTCTTCGCAAACTTACAGGACAGTAGTCGATTCTATAGAAGCAGGATGCGAAAAGAAGCATCAGCAATGATATGTGCGACCCGATCTGTAGGGATGCACTAGATGAGGGACAAGTTTGGCAGCGCTGACCAGCTTCACTGGCTTGAGAATCCCTGGCCCTCGATCTGAAACTATGATGTCGCCAAGGCCGGTTTGCGAAAATGGGGCTCTGCACATTTGGGTCGATAGGGGGCTTGCTTTCGGGTTTACTGGTTGATCAGCGGCGTTCTGGCATGCCTGTTCGATCAGATGAGCGGCTTGAGCTACAGCTGACCGAGAGAGCTGGATTGGCCAGTTGTCGGTGAAATAGACAACTGGCGACACAACCCCTGGATCCTCCTCTGAGTTGTTGGCGCGCCCCATCGGCTGAGTGGGCGAGCGGCCCATGGATTCGCTGGGGAACGGGATCTGGGAAGTCTCTCTCTCTGTCTCTCTTTCTCTCTTTCTCTCTCTCTCTCTTTCTCTCTCTCTCTCTCTCTCTCTCTTTTCATATATGTAGATGTTAAATGTTTAGGTATATTTATTTGTATTTGTATATGTATTTGCATATGTATATGTATATGTCTAAGTATATGTATCGGTATCTGTGTATGTATATGTGTGTATGTATATGTGTCTGTATGTTTGTATGTGTATTTTCATGTGCATGATTATTTATATGTATATGCATATGCATTTGTACGGTATGTGCTTACACATATATGTATATGTATAATCTATATGTGTATGTATTTGCATGTGCGTGCTGAACATGTAGATGTAGACTTGCATGTATATGCATATGTTCATGCACACCTGTATATGCGTATGTACATGTATATTTGTGTGTATAAATGTGCTTGTGTCTATGTAATGTATACGTGGACATATATATATGTGAATATGATGATATGTGTGTATATATGTATGGAGGATCTTTGCTATATGATATATATATGTATATTTAGATTCGTATGCATATGTGCGTTAACATATGTATATCGGCATGTATATATCCATATGTATATGTTTGTATGTGTTTGTATTTGCATATGCAGATCTATAATTATACATACATGTATGCATACCTGTATGCACATGCATACATATATGCATAGGCATAGGTATATGCACATGTATAGACACGTGTGTAGATATGCGTCTATGTATGTGTATATAACTGTGTATGTATAGTCATATATATAACAATGTATATGTATACATTACGCGCATGTCTGTGTATATGTAAATGTATATACATATATGTACATGTATGTTTATATGTATATTCGCACGTACATGTCTATGCCTGTGCACAGTTCTATGTTTATGTGTACGCATATTGATATGCACATGCATATGTATATGTATGTGTGTTTGTATAGGCCTACGTGTATGCATATGTGCATATGTATGTATGTATGTATGTATGTATTTGCATGTGATTATGTATATGAATGTGTTTATTCTTATATATATGTATGTGTGTGTTTGTTTCTGTTTGTATGAATGGATGTATGTATGTGTTCGTATCAATGTACGTATGGCTGTCTGTATGCATGCATGTATGCATGCATGCACCTGCTTGAGTTATGTCCTCATATCGTGTCCGTGGCTGGATTCTTCCTTTTGTGGCGCAAGCGGAGTAGGATGATCCTGATCGGAAAAGTCTGGTGGGTCTGGCTGCGCTGGCGGAGGCGTAGGTGACCTGTGCACTCTCCCATGGGGAGGTGGCGTCTTCTGAGTGTGCTGAGATCCAGCCGGCGGCGTGGGGGAGACCTCCCCAGTGGGGCTGGTGGGAGCACCTCCAGAGCCATGGTTCGAAGACATGCCAGGTTGCTGCTGAGGAGCTACTGTCGCAGACCTGGCCGCTGGTGCCGCCCCATCGCCCTCCGAGTTCAGTTCTGCAACTAATCCTGCATTCGCCGCCTTCTGGAATCACAGTACTGCCTCGCTCAGCTGGGTGATGGCATTGTCTTGCTGCGCTGTCCTGGTCATCATCTGCTGCATCGTGGAAATGAGGCCCTGCATCAGCTCGGACTGAGCTGGTGGCGGGGGCGGCGCAGGCGTTTGAAGACCAGGCTCGAGCGGATGATGAGCTGGCAGACAACGCTTTGCTTGCTGCAGACCATGTTGTTGGTGCGGAGTTCGTTGTTGACCATGTTGTTGATGGGGATGCTGGCCTGGCTGAAAATGTTGTCGATGAGGATGCTGAGTTTGTTGCTGACCATGTTGTTGATGCTGATATTGCTGCTGATCATGATGTAGGAACTGGTCTGGCTGGTCAGTATGTTGAGGCTGCTGGGGGTTCTGGCCTGGCAGAGGTCCCGCTGGCGGGGGAGGTGTCGAAGGAGGAAAGCCTCGCTGAGGAACCTGCTGCCCTAGCTGTGCTGGCTGATGCTGCACGAGGAGGACTGGCAAGGGGCAGCGGCGTGACGCTTCCCATTCACGGGACAAACATATCAAGTCTTTTTTGTCCAAGAGTGTGCCCATCACACGTGTTCATCGAGGACATTTTGTGAGCCTGGTGCAGTCCGTGAAATGAAGAAGCGCATCTACAAGATAACGGAGTCCTCTGCACAGTTGGCTCTGGCTGCGAGGCAAGCAGACGAAGCCGACGATGCCACCATAGCTGAGCTGGCCTGCCTCAAGCTCATGGTCAGTAGCACTGAGAAGGCCAGCACTCAGCTAGGCAAGCTCAGACAGAAGGGTGATTACATGATCCACAGGCTAAGAGCGGCACCAGATAAGTTGTACAAACGTCAAGAAGAGGAGAGGCAGCGATCAGCCAAGTGGGAATCAATACAGAAAAACGTGGCCGGGGTTCGTGGACTCGAGGAGATAGGATAGATGGAAGACGGTTGGATAGGAGTGGGCCATTCCCTCTCCCCCTCCCCTTTCCCCTTCTCCTCATCATCCTCCCCCTCTCCATCTTCCTACTCCCCCCCCCCCAGTGAGTTGCCCTCCTCCCCTACGGAAGGTGCTGCTGCCCTCGAGCGCCACGGCATGACGACCGACCCGTGGCTGTGCGTGGCTATCGTCCTTGCCGTCGTGGTCATGTCCCGCCTGCTGGCCTTTGGCTTGTTGTGGCCCGGCTGCGCCCCAGGAGCGCACCGGGCCGTCAGCGGTCTTCGGTGGTTTCCAGAAGCCTTCGGGGGCAGCCTTCGGAGGCTTTCGAGGCAGGAGGAAAGTGGAGGGGAGGAGGAGGCGGGGGGGAGGATGAGGATGAGGAGGAATGCGAGGGAGGGCGTGAGGGAGGGATTGAGCGAAGGATGGAGGATGGAGGATGAGGAGGAGGAGGATGAGAAGGAGGATGAGGCGGAGGAGGAGGAGGAGGAGGAGGAGGAGGTATAATGAGCAGGAGGTGGAAGTAACGGTAGGAAGAGGGGGGGAGGACGAAGGGGTAAAGAAAGAGTCTTCAGAGTCGTTGATTGTTCGTGTAGTGATTTTTCAGTCAACTTCTTACAAGGGCCTCCACCGACCCTCCAAGACGGCCTGAGAGGGCCCTAGGAGAGCAAAAAAGCGGTCCTAAGGGACCCCTGCCTAAAAACACACAGAGCACGGGAGTCACATTCATGTTTTGTATGCCTCTCTTGGGTGGGGGAGGTCGTTCTTGGGCCTCACTGCGGTCCTCTCTTGTCCTGTGGGGTCCGTGGGAGGCTAGTGGGAGGCACCTGCCCCCCTCAGCGGAGTGCTGGGAATAAGGATGACACCACGGGAGAGCTTTGCCTCCTAGCTTGCTCGGCCTGGCTGGGAACTTTCAGGCCAGAGTCCCGAGGACATCCAACTTACATGCTCGCGTCTAGTTTGGCTGAAGGGTTCCGAGCCGGGCTCGGCACGATTCACGAGCTGTGGCGCAGCGTAAGGTCCGCATCTCCCGCAGAGCCAGCCCGCCAGCCGAGCGTGGATCTTTGAGTGATGGGTTGCACGAGCTCGCCACGTGCGCATGCCTTCCCGGGGTTTGGGGCCTCCTATTTGTGCTTTCGAGTATAGGCAAGGATCAAGCATTCAGTTTCCAGCCATCTGGTCGTCTTATCTTTGGCAGCGGACCCGCAATGCCGCTGGCCTCGGCGTTCCGAGTCACAGAGCGTGTGAGACGGGGAGGAGGCATCGCATACGATGGGTGCGGGGGGCCTAGCAGGGGCAGCGATAGTGATTGGGTTGTTGTTCTGGCCACGCACAGAGCAGCACATTCTGTGACGGGCTGGAGGTGTTGACGCATGTCCAGGGGCACATGGCTTTGGACTGCTTCGATTGAGCTCCGCCTCGTCGAGTGCCTCCATGTGTCGCCACCATCGTCCCTGACGGCACTCCGAAATCAGAGTTACACGACAAACCAGAGCCGACGGCTCAAGGCTGTCTACTCGGTCGGCGCCAGAGCGAGCACATGGCAGGTATCATCTTCCATCTCACGAGCGTTGCCTAGTATAGCCAGGTGGTTGGACTTGCGCACGGCCATCAACGGCGCCAAGGGGATGCAGCAGCCGCCAGCTCATTGTCCCGCGGGCGGCAAGGAGGCAGCTCGGACACTTTCTGTGTACGTTTGATGAAGCACGCCTGATCCATATCCAGCGTACGGCATTACACCATGGAGTATGTTATGTTGGAACCCTACGCTGTGAACTTCTCATGACAGCTTTATATTTGAAGAACGACTGGTCGTCCTCGGACGACTTCCCACCTGGCAGGCTGGGAAGTACGGGAGGCCAGGAGGCCCATATTTATTCCACTGTGCGAGCCTGTCTACGAATTATATACCTTTGCATCGTGCACGCGCCGCGCAAGCATTTTTGCCCTTCATTTTTGCCCTTCATTTTTGCCCTTCATTGCGGGTTATTACGTGGGCCAAGGAGGAGAATATGTGGGGCCAGATCTCCGGCAGAGGTGTTTCGAGGCGAAGCAGTTGTCCTTTTGTACCTGTGCCTGCTGGGTTTCACGGTGCTGGGGTGCAGGGTGCTTGGAGTGCCGCGTCTGGATTTATGGCTGTTGGGTTTTTGGGCCTGTGGTTTTTTGGGGGCCCTGCGGAGCGGTCTCCTGTCGGTTCGGGCCAGTTTGGGGCTCTTGGGGGGGTCTTGCACCGCTTAGGATTTATTTGGTGGGACCTTCGCTGAGCCATCTTGGAACCTCCAGGGCCATTTGGGCGCGATTTATTCCACATTAGGCTTTGCCTTAGGGGTTCTGACTCGTTTTGAAGAACCGGTGGGCGCGGCCCCCAATTGTCACCAGCCGTCCCAAGAATTCTTTAGTTCTGTTTCTTTACAGGGGCCTGGCCTGGGGTTCCTTGGTCGGCGTCGTGGTTCCTTGGTCTTGGTTCCTTTTGTTCCTTGGTCTTGGTTCTTGGTTCCTTGGTCTTGGTTCCCTGGTTCCTCTGTCTTGGTTTCTTCGTTCGCTGTTCTTGATTCCTTTGTTCCTTGATCTTGATTCCTTGATTCCTGGGTCTTTGACTTCTTCGTTCCTGGTCTTGGGCCTCGCAGCGCAATGCCAAGCAGTGCCAGGCACTGCCACCCAATTCCATGCACCGCCAAGCAATGCCAGCTAATGCCACGTAATGCATCCCTGGAATAGAAGGCTTTCCCGTAATTGGGATCGCGCATGGTCACTGAGGCTTCTGGGGGCCATCCCAGAACAGACTTCGGTCCCTCTGTAACCTTCTAATCCCATCTTCGCCAGTTTCGTGTGACTTTTGGGGCCAGGTGGGCTGTTCCGAAGGGTTCTTAGGGCTAGAAGGTGCGTGCTGGGAAGCCTGTTTCCCCTTCGCTTAAGCGGGGAGATTTGGTCTGAGGAGGGGGACCAGGTGCAGCGGGGGATAATCCACACCTTTCATACGCCTCGTCACCCCTGGCAAGCGGGGGTCCGCGGACAACGGTAAGTTCGCGCCACGTGATTCGGCGGCGACGCTGATGCGTTCGTACGATGTTTCCCGATCGCCTCACCCAGGCCAATCTTAAGCGATCACTGCTGCCGGAAGCGGATGCCATTCGAGCCTGACAGATCTACGCGGTGTCGCAAACCAACGTCCACGTCATTGGTATGTGAACCCTCGGTACTGCGACTCTACTTCTGGTGGTTCGTTCGCCTCTCTCCCTCGCCAGCCACCTTTCTCCTCGTCGGGTTCCCCAGGAGGGGCACGTGTATCGGTCCTGGCCTCGAACCATCCTCCCTGGCAAGCGGGGGCTTGGCGGACTACTGCGACTCGGCTTCTCGTTGTTTGTTTGCCTCCTTCCCTCAGCGCGACGACGACGACGAACATGACGACGACGACGACGACGACGACGACGACGACGACGACGACGACGACGACGACGACGACGACGACGACGACGACGAGGACGACGACGACGACGACGACGACGAGGACGACGCCGACGACGACGACGACGACGACGACGACGACGACGGCAGCGGCGGCGGCGGCAGCGGCGGCGGCGGCGACGACCAGCGGTCCCCCCTGTCAGGCCGACGACGAGCCGTCGGCGGACTCGGTGACGGCGTGATGGCCTGCTGCGCCTCAGCACTGGCACCTCGACCTCCCGCTCGCCCCCTCGAGGGTTCTGCTCGCTGGTTGCTTTTGTGGGTGCCGAAGGAAGAGTTGTTGGGGGATGTCAACCGCCCACCTCACCGAGCTCGACCGGGCCCGTCTATCTCAACCATCCACCTCGTTGTCCTCCTCCACCTTCTCCTCTCTGCACTGCGTTGTGGCCTGGCAGCGCGAAGGTGGCCGGTTCCGCAATGGAACGCAAGGCTCCTCGTCCAGCTCAGAGCTTGCGCCCAGCATCTGCATCTGCACACGCCCGTCTTGCTTGGCCAGGCTCAGGACATCCCAGCCAGGGTCTGTGGAATGCACAGTTGATGTTTCCTGTCTGTGACCTTCTCGCTGGCTGCCCTGTCGGCGCTAGAGAGGGTTCGGTCAGCTGGTGTGGTTGGGCCCCGAACAACTGCTTGTATCGCAGGCAGGCAGGTTCGCTTCGCGTCGACGCGGCGGCGACCCTGGCGCTGGCGTTCAAGTTTGGCCGCCGCTGTTGGCGCGAAATCGGCCAATATCGAATGATCCTCTGAAGCGGAAGTCTACGATCGTTCATGGCTGAACGATCCACGTGGTGTCAGAAACCAACGCCAACGCCGACGTCGATCTCGACGCGAACAAGCCATATACGCAGGTGGCCGCAGGTGGTGTTAGCTGGAACGGCGCCCAGGCTGCACTGGACCTGCGAAACGCAGACAGCAACACGAGCGGCGGTGAAGTTGATATGCAACGTCAGCTCAAATGCATTCTTGCCAAATGCCCCTCACCACGAGCAACTGCCTGCCACGTGGAAAACACTCAGAGTCGCTCTTGATTGATTTTCGTGCCCCAGTTTTACCCTGCCGTTTAAATCGGTGCACAATTTTCACGTGATCCTGCTGAATTCGGCACTGTCTCGTCTCCCCATTCCCGCGATTTGCCTCCCCCTTCCCCCGTGCATGGCGGTCTCCATGGGCAGGCTCATGGAGCCGTTCTGGTGCCGAAGGGCCCCGGATTGACCTTGCTTCGGAGGACGTCAACCGACGACCTCACCGATCCTGGCCAGGCCTGGTCAGGCCGACCCTTGGCCTGGCCAGGAGCGGTGAGGTGGTCAGATGGTATCCCCCAGCCCATCCGTGGCACTCCCCATCGGCAGAAGAACAAAGAACGGCACGGGCATGCCTTTTCCGAGGTCTGCATGGATTTTTTCTGTCGGCGCTGGGCCTCCCAGAGGCTCCGGCAAGGGGTGTCGAGCGCCGACCCGAGAAGCCCGCGCGCGCCTCCGAGCGTTCCTGCTCATGCCATTCTCTGCTCTTTGGATCGTGGCACGAGGCGCTGTACAGAGCGCTCCCCCTGCAGCCTGGGGCCACGACGCAGCCCGTGGAGCACTCCCCGACTCACGGGGTTCGCGCGGCGCGGCCGCAGGAGAGGCGCGGGCGCCTCGCGGCGATCCGGGAGGGGCGCGCCCCCCTCCTCTCTCGCCGGAGGCCGAACAAGTGGCGTTGGCACACCTCCGCCCGCCGCCCCCCCGTGTTTGGTGGAAGGGGGTCGGGGAAGAGACCTGGAACCGGCTTGGGGACTGAGGTGGCCCATCATTTGGTTGCGGTGAGCAGTTGGGGAGAAAGGGTCCCCTCGTCGCCACTGCCGGACGGCTCGGAGAACTGGTCGACCTGAGAAGGGATCTGGGGACCGATGTTGAGCGGGTTTGGCTTCATCTCGGAGGCCTAGAGGTTGACACCAACATCAGTATCGGCGCTGTGCCTCCACCGAGGGAATATCATCCCGATCTCGGTGACGGTGGTAAGCTTTGGACTTCCTAGGGTGGCCGAACTATTACCACCAACACTGAAATCTACGACAATCTTCCTCAGGTAGAGGCAACCCGATGTGTTGGTAGTGGTGCCCACTTCTACGCCTCCAAGTCGACACCCCTCTTGACATGTTTATTCTGAGCTTATTCAGCTCAGACCCTCCCAGCCGCCTCCATGGAGGGACGAGGGCGGGCCCGAGGGGGCGGTGAGTATAGGGGAGGGGGGCAAGCTAGGTGCGCGCGCGCCATATCTGATTTTCTATGTATCCCTCCCCCCAGTCCTCGAGCAGGGGATCGACTGCAGAATTTATGTACCCCAAACTGCGAGCTGTTGTTCTTCGAATCCATGAGAAGTGTGTATGATGTCCGTAGATCTGCGAACATTATACGTATGGCTCGTCGACGAGAACATCCATCTTGGAATACGTCAATTCTGTAGTCGATCCCCTAGTCGAAGTCTTTCCCACTGCGTTGAAACCCATGGTTTTCCCTGGTACCCGACTTCTTCCACGCAGCAGAAGCCACCCTTGTGGAGACACGAAACACATGCGAAAGCAGCGGGCGACCAGCGCCGCGGCGAGAGCGCCGTTCCGTGGGACGGAAGCTTGCGGAAGCAATCTGGCACGTTGCGAGGGGAGTACCACTTTTATTGATGCAGGGCTACGGTCAGCGCTGCGGCGAGAGTACCAGTCCACTGGATATCGACCGAAATGCGGAGAATTGCCCCCCCCCCCCCCTCCGCATCGGGGTCATCACTTTCACGGATGTAAGAGCACAGCCACCACTGCCTCTGCTGTTGCAACAGCGATGTTCCGTTGGAGGGAGGCTCCTTGGTGAACTCAAAAGCTTAAGAATGCATTAACACGGCAACCGCTTCAGCGAGAACACCACTTCTCAGAAACAGCAAACCTTCTGATTGAATGCGAGACTACAGCCACCGCTGCCACTGCTGTGGCGACAGCATCGTTCCGTTGGACGTAGGATCCCGGGTGATTATGCAATATGTTGAGCGCACTTGCGAGAGCATCAAAACATGCTGACACACAGAATCATCAATTCAACTTCCCCGTGCAGGGAAGACTCGGATTGAGCAAACATCATCTCGAAATGCAATTCGGAGCCATCCTGTGTGTAGGAAGGAGCGCTGTCTGCGATATCGTCTGTTCAAACCAGCATGGCACCATAGGAGAGAGGAACATTTTTATTGTGCAACCGTGAAGAGGAAGGGCGGAAGAAGGGATGGGGTGGAAGGAGGAGGAGGAGGAGGAGGAGAAGGAGAGAATGAAGGGGTAAGAGGGAGGGAGGAGGCTGAGGAGGGGTCCGAAGGGGAGGGGAGGAGGGAGAGGGGAAGAGGGACTGGGGAGGAAGGATTGGGAGGGTGGGGACGGGTGCACCAGGACGCGACGCGGTGACGTTGGCACGTGGGCCGTGCGAAGGAGAGCCGAGCTCAGCGCTCACATTCCGAGCAGACGTCGGGACCAGCTCTCTACATCTTGGCGTTGAAGGGCGCTTCGCATAGCCGCGGTCGACCCTGGAGAAAGCTGGCGCCGCGGACCAGATGGTAGAGAGGTGGTGGCAGGAGCGAGCGCGGATTCTGGTACGTACGGGCTTGATAGGGGTGATGATCAATGACGATGGTGATGATCGATGATGACGGTGGTGAGGGTGATGATTATGGCAATGATGGCGATCCGGACGAATCTGATGGTGTTGATGGTGTTGACGATGATGATTAAGGCGAAGACGGCGTACGGCGTCGATTATGATGATGATGTTGATGATGCTGATGCTGATGATGATGCTGATGATTCTGGTGATGCTATGATAAGATGATGGCGGTGATGATGATGACGATGCTGATCGGAGGTTGGGGGGTGAGATTGCAGTGAAACGGAGACCCCCCACCGGGAAACTTCGTGTTCTTGTTGTGCGTGCGGGCGAGGCGAAGCTGGGCGTGATCCTCCTGTAGCCAGGCCGAAGTAGGAGCGAAAGTCCGTTCCCGTCCGCCGGTGGCTGGGAGGTGTCCCAGTTGGGCCGAGCGGTGTCCTGGGTGTCCCGGGTGTCAGTAGGAGCGAAAGTTCGTTTCCCGTCGGTGGATTGGATTGGATGGGATAAGATGGATTGGATAAGATAAGATGTATTGGATTAGAAGAAATGGATTGGATAAGATAAGATGGATTGGATTGGCCCGCCGCAGGCGCAGAAACAAATGAATTGATGGATTGGGTTGGGTGAATTGGATTGGATGGGATAAGATAAGATGGGACCATACGGGTTGGATAAGATAATATGGATTGTATTGGACAAGATTGATTGGTTAAAAGCTGGATTGGATAAGAAAGCCCGCCGCAGGGGCCGAACAAAAATGAATTATGAAATTAGCAACATGCGTTAGCGCCGGGACGCCGGGGACACCCGGGACACCCGGGACACCGCCCGGCCCAATTGGGACACCTCCCGGCCACCGACCCAATCCATCAATTCATTTTTGTCGGCGCTTGCGGCGGGCTTTCTTATCCAATCCCGCTTATCTTATCCAATCCATCTTGTCCAATCCAATACATCTTATCTTATCCAACCTATCGTGTCCCATCTTATCTTATCCCACCCAATCCAATGCATCCAACCCAATCCATCAATTCATTTGTTTCTGCGCCTGCGGCGGGCCAATCCACCTCACCCATCACCAATCGGCACTGCCATCATCCATCACCCACTGCACCGCCGCACCCATCACCCATCGTCACTGCCATCATCCATCACCCACTGCACCGCCGCACCCATCACCCATCGTCACTGTGTAAGCACCGCCGCACCCATCATCCATCGTCACTGCCATCATTGTGGTGGAGGGGGAGACTGATAGAGAGAGAGAGAGAGAGAGCAAGACAGAGAGAGAGAGAGAGAGACAGAGATTACCTAGTATGCGATGGTTGTCTCGTGGTTGTCTTGTGATTGTCCTGATGGTTGTCTGGTGGTTGTGCCGATGGTTGTCCTATGGTTGTCCGACATCAAATTGTTTTTCGGCGCCTGCGGCGGGCTTTCTCATTTTGCTTTTGAGGTCGATAGTGAGATCGACAGTGAGATTCACCGATAGGTCGGTCGACTGATAGGTAGATAGTGGGATCTCATCGTCATCGCGATCATCATTGTGGTGGGGGGAGACTCTGATAGAGAGGGAG